GGGGCCAACCCCCGGAGGTGGGAACCAGGGGTGGTCCTCTCCCGCCCCCTGACAAGGGGGTTTTTTTATTTTTATAGAATATATCACGACGCGCGCGCCCTGTGGGCGCCTCGTTCTCTTTTCTCGCGTCCTCGGGGTAAGAGAGTGTACACACCCCTCGTTCGTACTCTCGGGTCCCCGGAGAAACTACAGGCGATAGGACTACTACAAGGTGCACGCCTTTCCCCTTTTCCGTGACTGTTCCCCCAGGAGAGGGAGACGCGGAGCAGCGTTCGCAACGCTTTTGGTGGGGGAGCTGTGCCGCGTCTCCCGTGTGTTTTGGTTTCAGCAAGGAACCGCCGGGGGAGCGGAGCGGGCGGTTCTCGCCGGCTGGGTTGGCCGGACCGGACGGGAACGGAGCTGTTCCAGGCCGGGGCGGGGGCCACGACCTGCGGCTGTGACACCGGGACGGGGAGGTGCCGCCCCCGCGCCCCCGGCTTCGGTTTCTCCTCCTGGAAAGTGGGGCCCCGCGTGGGCGCGGCCTCCGCGTGTGGCCACCGACCAAGGGCAGGTGCCCGGCGCGGTTTCCCACGTCCCTGCCAAGGGCCTGCGTGCTCCGTTATTAAACATTGATGGAGGCTGCTTGGTGCTGCCCTGGGCGGGGAGGGGGGCGAGGGGGGCAGGACAGAGCTGGAGCCGATACCCCAACCCCCGGCGGCTCAGGTTCGGGGCTGGGAGGACGGGACAGCCACGCTGCCTGCAGAGACCAGAGGAAAACACATTAGTTGGACGCCATCAAATTTACAACTTTTCTTCGACAAAAGACACTCTTTAGAGGATGAGAAGACAGCCTCAGAATGGGAGGAAATACTTGCAAATCATATGCGATAAGGGATTAGTATCCAGAATAAAGAATTCTGGTGACTCATTAATAGAAAGATAAAAAACCCAATGAAAAATGAGGTTTTCAATCCAACCGCGGGGAGGGGCCCCCTCACGCCCACCGGGGAGGCTGGTGATGAGGGTGAGGAGAAACCGGGTCCAGGGCCAATGGAAGGTGAACGTGCAGCTGCTGCTCCTGGAGACAACCTGGTGGTTCCCCAATAAGTGGGACATGGCATCGCCATAGGACCCCGCGGTTCCACGCCCAGGAAGAGACCAACAGGAGTGAAAACGCGTTCGCACCAACACGTGTACAGTGTTCACAGCCACTAGCCACAGCCGCCAGGAGGTGGAAATGACCCCGGGATCCACGACAAATGGAGGGATGAGTAAACAGTCACACATCTGCACGGTGGAGTATTACTCAGCCACACAAGCCATGAAGCACTGACACACGCTACAACATGCATGAACCGCAAAAAAATCACGCTAAGGCCCTGGCCGGCGTGGCTCAGTTGGCTGAGCGTCGTCCCCTACACCAAAAGGTTGCCGGTTTGATTCCCGGTCAGGGGACATACCTGGGTTTGGGGTTCGATCCCCAGCTGGGGTGCCTGTGGGAAACAACGATGCTTCTCTCACTCGCTCTCTCTCCCTCACCCTTCCTCTCTCTCTCAAATCAATAAAAACTTTTTAAAAAGGCCACAGAGGGTACGATCCTATTTATAAAATGGCCAGAAAGGCAAATCCGTAGAGACAGGACGCAGGTTAGTAGTCAGGAGTGGGAAGTGACTGCTCATGGTGAGGGGTCTCCTCTGAGATGTTGGAATGTTCTGGTGTTGGAATGTTCTAGACAGAGGTGATGGTTGCACAACAGTGTGAAAGTGCAGATGCCGCTGAACTGTTCCCTTTACGAGGAGGATATGTACGGCATGTGAACGTCTATGTCACACAAAGAGGGGAGGGCCAAGCAAAGGCACCGCTGGGGGAGGGCATTGCTGGCGTCTGGGGGACGCAGGCCGGGAGTGCGAGAAGCCCGGCCGGGGCTGGTCCCCGTCACCTTCTGCAGCCCATGGTCTCCAGAGGCCGCTGACACCCAGCCTCCTCCTGGCTCCAGGGCAGAGGCAGAGACAACCCCTATCCGACCAAACCCAGAAGCCACAAGAGAGACAGAGGAGGGAAGTGTCTGGGGAGGTAAACTGAGGCAGCCTGTCTCCCCGATGGAGACAAGCTTCCTGACTCACCGTGGGAACCATGGTGAAAGGGACAGTCGGCCCCGGACAGAGAGGTCGAGGGAGGAGGTGAGCGGGGGCAGGGCTCTGGCGTGGTCACCTCACCCATTTCACAGCCAGAACACCAAGGCCAGCAAAGCTGGGTCACCGGCTCCAGGCTGAACACAGCAGGAGGAATCGGGACAAGTCACAAATCCAGTCTCCCGTCCCTGCTCCAGGTCATTCCCACCCCCCACCCCTAAGAATAAACCCACGGGCCCCCCAGCCCAGGAGCTGTGTGTGACCTCTGTCTCCCCCTCACCCATTTCACAGCCACACCTGCCTCAGGGCCTTTGATCCGGCTGCTCTGGCCTCTCTTCACCCAGCACCGTCTCTTTCGGGAAGCCCTCCCTATGCCCGTTCTTCATGTTGTTACTTATCACTCTTCTAAGGTTGATTATAACTCTGTGTGATGATTAGGTTGGCATCTGCCTTCCCACCCAACCAGGAGCCCTCAGGACGGGAACTGTGCAGAACAGGACTTGGTATACAGTAGGTGCTCAACACTGACTTCCTGAATCAATGACTGAATGCGGCTGTGCAATGAGGTCTACCACAGTTTTGACTCTGGAGCTGCTGGGAGGATCTGAAGAAGGATGAACACTCAGAAGAGCCTAGGTTAATGAGTATACAGCAGGTGCTCAATAATAAACACTGGATCAGGGCTCTGCTAAGCAGGGTTGCCCAACCCATTAAGGTAGGGACCAGTGTTCTGGACTCCTTCCTATTACACAGACGGGCAAGCAGAGGCCCAGACAGGGGTCTGTGGGACTTTTCTTCACGGCAGAAACAGAGCTCAAGGTAGCTTCCGGGAAAAGGGAACCTAATGAAAAAAATCCTAGGGGGATGGGCTGCAGGCTCAGCTAGATCCAGGGACTAGGGACCCATCTTTCTGTACCACTGTCCTCCTGCCGCTTCTCTCTGAGGCAGGCTCCGCCTTCCCCCATGGAAGTAGGTAGGGTGTTCCTTTTCCCATTCACTTCAGCAGGAGCTGTAGGCAGTGCTCAATAAACATCTAATTCCTGCTCCTTGGACCCAGAGGGCTGTGCCTGGGGGTAGGTTTGTGGCCAAACTGGGTCCTGTGCTACTGGGTAAGCCCCAGACCGAAGACTGCCTACAGGGAGGCTCCACTGTGGGGAGTAGGATAGAGGGTTCGAGACTTGAGGGGAGTCAGGTCACTCTGGTCTTTTTCATGAGGCTGCTGACCCCGCACCCTTTCCTGTCTGAGCCACCTTCTCAGGATGGAGCCCAGCCCTAAGGAATAGGGGTGGGGGGGGGGGGTCCCTCCAGTGAGTGCATGCCTGGTGGAGGGCAGGCTTGTGCACAAGCTGGGAGGTGGCGAATCCAAGGAGGGAAGAGTGAACAGCCACTGGAGCACGGGGCTAAGGCCTCTGTGTCCCCCATCTACATGCATAGATGGGAAACTGTGGCCCCTCAAATGGGCAGGGCCGGGACCTCTTGCCTCCCAGCTTTACGGGCTTCCTGATGTTCCTCACCCACTGGCCTCATCTCCTTTTGCCATAAAATTCAGTGGTTGTGAGTTTCCATATTTTAAAACGGAAAAGTCTGTTTTTGCAAACTCCGTGGGAGGTGGGAGGAGGAGGGGCAGACCGGGTCTGAGAGACACGCGCCGCTGCTGCCACCTGGTGGCCATGGTGGGAATGCGCGGGGTGCTCTTGGAGGAACCAGAAAAGATTAAGTGCATGTGGAATGAATGAATAAATACTTGAATTATCGGGCTCCTATTGGGATTTTGAGCAGGAATTCAGGCTTCAGTCGTGGGGGGGGGGGGAGACAATCCCAAGAGCCCAAGAGAAGGCGCATTTATTAAGGCTTAGACTCCCCCAACAGCTCTATGAGGTCTATGTTATCTTCACTCCCCTCCTACAGGGGAGGAGACTGTTAGAAAGGGGCCACCACCTCCCCCTTCTTTTCCCCTCACCTAGATCCTCTGAGCCTGGAGACCCTGCAGTGCAGGGCGGAGCTGAGTGGCCAGACTCCCCACCCAGTGCTCCTGGGACAGAACCCCCAGCCCAGGACCCTGGGATCCGCTTAGACCCCCCTGGGCCACGCTCCAGTCTATTCCACCCCAACAGGCCAATGGCAGTGCCTGCCCCTGCCCCTGCCCCATAATGTCAAGCCCAGCTGGTGCAGCCACTTCTGTTTCATGGAGGTTTTTAGGGTTCCCTCACAGGACATGTGGCAACAGGTGCTGGACAGAGTGGGGAGAGGGGCGATGGTGGCAGCACCTGGGAGGGGGAAGTGGGGTATGGGACCCTTGGCTGGAGTTTGACTCAGTTGTTACGTCTGTAAAATGGTAAAACAGGACAGGATGTGCCCCAGGCATCACGCGAGTGTCTGAACAGAACAGGCTGGGTGTGCAACAAGCATTTAATAACTAGCTGCTGTGATTTCAATCGTCAGTCTTTCTGTGCTGTCCATAGGTGAGGTGGACATTCCCTTTTCCCCTTCAGGCCTCCAGGCCCGTATGTCGGGGACCGTCAGACCTGAGACTCTGCATTTGATCTCCCAGGAGCAGGGACCGTCCGGCCGCCCGGGCAGAGCTGCCCTCCAGACTGCCCTGCCCACTGGGCTCCAGAACCCCGGCCTCAGGGTGTCCTTGCCCCTGTCTCCTGTCCTCCAAGCACAGCTCTGCGTCTAGGGCTGGCTCAAGGGTGCCCCACGGCAGCTCTGTCTGGCCCCGGAGCGGGCTGGGTGCGTGCGGGTCAGCCACCTCGCCTTTTCCGCACGGCATGGTCACCACCAGGGCCTCCTTCAGGGACTCTTCCTCCTCCTTCTGGAAGTCTGCCGGGGTGATCCACTGCCAGGCCTGGAGAGGGGGGACACGGTGAGGCTGTGGGCAGGGCTCTGTTTCCCACCCACATAAGGGGTGGACCAGGTCCCCGCTGGCTTCATCCTCTAAAACTTGAGGCCACTTTGAAGATCCATTGGAATGACCCCCACTTCTCTTTGGGAAATTGGCCTGCTTTTCTCATAGTGGATGTGATTGGGCAGGTAACTCTGGCCCAGCCAATCAGAGCGCTCCAGCCTCCTGGAGTGCTGGAGGCTCAGGGGTGGGGCATGTGACCATGCTGAGCCAATCAGTGATGGCCCTGAGAGTTTTGCTCCAGTCAATGGGGGAAATGGACATTCTCTTCCATGGGGGAAGACTGAGCCTGCCTGGGAAAGAAATGTGTAGGGAGGACAGCAGCACGGAAAGATGAATCCATAGTTCCTGGATCCAGCCATGCCTGAAGCCCCCACCTTGGGATTTTTTTTCCCCTTCAGATTCCCTTTTGGTAAAAGTCACTCTGAGTTGTTTCTGCTGTTAGGGAATGGCCCACAGGAGGTTTCTCTTTGGGCCTCTGCTTTCCCATCTGTAGAATGGGGCAGGTTTTTAGAGACCCTGACATATGAGTTGGAGGAGAATAAAATGAGCTAATTCCTCAGCAGAGCCCTTGCCCAGAGTATAGACCCATAAACAGGACCGAGAATTACAAAAGGAGCCCTTACCTGCTTCCCCTGGCCGCCAGGAAACTCAACAGCGGTGCTGGCGCAGGGTGTGGGCAGGGGCGGGCACAGGTGTGGCAAGGCCCTGGAGAGACAGGGGAGCCATCAGAGGACAGCGCTTCTGTCTATTCTTCCTGTTCTGTTGTTCTGAGTTACACCTTTCATCTTCATGAGGTTACAAAGGCAGTGAGGACGTGGACTGGGGAGGGCAGGGCAGGAGTCTGACAGGCCCGGGGGCGCACCCTGGCCCTGCCCCCGCTGCTGCCGGCCCTGACCATCCGCACCTCAGCTTTCTCATCGGTAAAGTGAGCGAAAATCTCTACTTGGAGTGAGTGGTTGTTACTGTGACTGCTACTGCTACTGTTACTGTTACTGCTACTGCTACTGCTACTGCTAAGGTAGCTGTTGTGGGGACCGTGTCAGGGAGAGGCTGGGAGTTACCTGTTCAGGCTGAAGTACCCAAGGACGCCCAGGAGGAGGACACTCAGGAAGCTGCCCAGGGAGGCGAGGAAGATGGACAAACCAGACAGCTCCGGAAGCTGGACGTCTTGGGAGTGAGAGAGCTTGGGTTGGGGGAGGGGCACCTCCTGCCTCTCCTCAGGGAGGGAGTGGGTGGGCCAGCCCTCCACCAACTCCCTGTGGACCCTGGCGCACCACCGGCCCCACCACGCCTCGGTTTCCTCCTCTGTGAAGTGGGCGGCCAGGGGGTCTCCTGGCCGTGACGGGGGACAAAGGCCTGGCGCACGGGAAGTGCTCTGTCGCGCCCCTGGGCCCGGATGCCCACACCACACTGAGACTGACTATTGGTTCTGTCCAGGTTTCACTGCGAGGACAGCAGGCAGGGACCGTGGCAGGAACAGGGATCATTAGTCTCCAAATCTCTCACAGGACAATCTCAAGACAACGGAGCCTGCCTCCCCACTCACTCATTCATATGGATTCCTGTGCTGCCCGCATACCAGCTGGAGGAGGCAGACCAGACACAGACACCCCCACCCATCCCCAAGGTGTCAGGTGGGGAAGAGGGGCGGTCACAGCTGGAGGGTGCCCAGAGGGAAGCACAGAAGGCTTCCCGGAGGAAGAAGCTTTGGCACTGGGTTTTGAAGGATGAGTAGGAGTTTGACAGCAGAGAAAACAAACATTCCAGGCATTTGAGGGGCCCTCCTGGGCAAGGCCACAGGAGTGTGAGAGAGGGTTCAAACGGGGAAGCTGTAGGAGATGAGGTGGGTGGAGGCGGTGGGAGCAGATCAGGCTGGGACTATCTCCTGAAGGTGATGCATGGAGGGCAGTGCATGCTGCAGCAACACCTGGGCCCTGCCCCGGGCCCCCACTCACCTATGCGGAAGCGCTGGGGCTGGCTCCAGGCGCCCCTCAGTGTCGCTGTGTCTGCTCGCACCTGCACGCTGTAAGCTGTGCCAGCCCGCAGGCCAACGAGGGTGACCTGGGTCTCTGTGGGGTTCACGGGCAGCTCTGCAGGGGGAGGCAACCATGGGTCCCTGGACCCCCTCTATTCCCAGGAGGCTGGGCTCAGGCAGTGGGATGTGCCTGGTCCCACCGGGGGGCTGTCACACCCAGTGGGAGTGGAGTTGCTGATATGAGTGAGGGGTTGCCATGCAAACACCTGGCACACTATGAGCACCTGGCAATGCCCCCCGGGCCCCCTCGGGGGCCGTCAAGAGCCCTGAGTCCAATTACCTTGCGTTATTGGAAAACGAAGGGCCAGAGAGGGGCGGTGAGGTGCCCTGGGTCACATCGCGAGGCAGGACTCAAGCCCAGACCCCTTCCTCCCCAGCCAGGCCCGCGCTGCCCCACATACCGGTCACCTGGTTGCTGTCCTCGTCCCGATATTGCACCACGTACGTCTGCAGGACGCCAGGGCAGGGGCTCAGCAGGGACGGCGTCCAGTCCACTGACACCGAGTCCGGGCTGAGCACCTTCACCGAAACGTGCTGTGGGCTCCCAGCCTCGGAGGCTGCAACCAGCGTCAAGGCCATGGTCAACCCCCAGAGCCCCGGCCGGGCACTTCCATCCCAGCACTGCCCAGGGCACCTTGGCCGCGACCCCCAGCCCCACCACTCGGGCACCGCCACGCCCCCTCTCTGAGCCTCCGGGTTCTTATCTATGAGATGGGCAACGCCTCTCAGGGTGTCTTGGGAGTTGACTGAGCTCACTCCACACGTCCGTCCGACCGTCCGTCCGGTGTGGCCAGGGCCCCGCACGCAGCCGGTAACTCTAAACGCTTATTCCTCCTCCTGACTCCTGGGGCCGCTGCTGAGGCTCCAGGGAGACGGCCCTGCAAGTTTGGGCCACTCACCGTTGCCCCCGAAGTGGTAGGCGGACAAGACGGTGGACCATGAGGTGGGGTTCCTGGGCTGAGCCGAGGAAGAGACGGTGACGCGGTAGCAGGCCCGCTGCCCCAGCGCCCCGGCAGCTCGGCTCCAGCGGAGGGTGGCTGAAAGGGTTAGGAGGGCAGGCCAGTCAGCAGTGGTTCCCACCTCCGCACCTCGCACCGCACCGGCTGTGCCCTCCGACCCACACTCCACGGCCTTCGCCCCAGTGTCCCCTCCTCCAGCGTCCCTCCCCACACTCCCCAACCCACCCCAGCCCCTCCAGCCCAGCCATTACCCCAGGGGGCAGAGTCTCTATGTCCCGCTCCTCCTCCCCAGCCTGGGAGCTCTTGGAGGGACAGGTTGAGGCTAAAGCTTCCTGTGGCCCCAGCCAGGCCCAGGGCAGGAAGTGGGGGAGCGAAAGGCTGCCTGGGCCGCAGGGCACCCTCTTTCCCTCCAGAGGCCTCATTACTTTGTCACCAGCCTCTTGCCCGCTGCCACCTTCCTTGATGAGGGTGAATGTTTAAGAAACACCCTGGAATGTGAGACTCATTAGCCGCCTGGGCGCCATCTGCCCAGGGCTGAGCCCTGTCACCACCCCAGGCTCCCGGCAGGAGGCTCCAGCCTGCATGGGGGGTGGGGCGCGAGTCTCGGCCTCTCCCCACCACTGTGTGATTCAAGCAAGTGGCCAGACTCTCTAGGCCTCAGACACCCCCGCCCCCCCCCACCCCCCCCGCCCCCTGCGTGGGTGACCCCCGCAAGTCTGAGTTGAATGGAACCCCGCTGGAGGAGGCCAGAAGAGGAACGCCGTGCTCGCCATACCCCTGTCAGAAGAAACCCGGTCCCGGGGACCGCCAGGTTGCAGGTGGCAGGGCTCACGTTCCTGTCCCGAGTTTG